CCTTATCATTGATTCTGTGTTCCCACCAAAAGGACAGAAGATGTTCTGGGGAAATTCATTTGGCTATAATTCATTACATTGAAAATGTCTTCCAAATTGCATCAAAAAGAATAAAATACCTAGGAGTAAACTTATCCAAGAAGGTGGAAGAACTGTACACTAAAAATGATAATTCATCAATAAAAGAAATAATAAATAAATGCAAAGATATTCCCTGTTCATGATTGGAAGAATTAATGTTATTAACATTTCCATACTACCCAAAGCAATATACAGAATTGCTACAATTCCTATCAAAATTCTAATAGCATTTTTTACAGACATAGAAGAATCATAAAATTTGTGTTGATAAACAAAAGGCCACAGCACTTCTTTAAAAAAAAAAAAATCCTCACCGGAGGATATTTTTTCATAAAAATGAAGGACATCTTAGCATGGGTGACATGGAAGTTGAGGAAGTAATGCTAAGTGAAATAAGTCAGACAGAGAAAGACAAATACTGGATGATCTCACTTGTATGTGAATGCAAAGCAAAACCTGAACTCATAGATATAGAGAACAGATTAGTGGTTGCCAGAGGCTTGGGGTGGGCAAAATGGATGAAGGGGGTCAAAAAGTACAAATTTCCAGTTATAAAATAAATAAGCCCTGGGTATGTAATGTATAGCATGGTAGTTACAGTGAATAATACTGTATGTTAGAAAGTTGTGCCCTGGCCGGTTTGGCTCAGCGGTTAGAGCGTCCGCCTGCGGTCCTGAGAGACCCGGGTTCGGTTCCCGCTAAGGGCGCGTACCTCGGTTGCAGTTTGTCCCCGGCCCTGGTCGGTCATGCGGGTGGCAGCCACTCGATGTGTCCCTTTCACATCAATGTTTCTCTCTCTCTCTCTCTTCCTCTCTCTCCCTCCCACTCTACCTGAACAAAGAATGGAAAAATGTCCTCGGGTGAGGATAAAAAAAAAGAAAGTTGCTAAGACCATAAATCTTAAAAGTTCTCATCAGAAGAGAAAAAAAAAGTTGTGACTATGTGTGGTAATGGATGTTAATTAAACTTATTGTGATCGTTTTGCAATATATACAAATATTGAATCATTATAGTGTATACCTGAAACTAATATAATGTTATATGTCAATTACATGTCAATAAAAAAGAAAAAAATATTCTTCTAAGCAAAGCTTTTCTTGTAAGTTTGGTTCTTGAAGGTGTATACAAAAAAAAAAAATGACTTTGCTTCTATTTCTATTTCTGTTTCATAATACATAATAATGTATGCTGCTTTTGTGGTTTGAAACAATATTTGCATCTCATTCCAGAGTGGAATGTATTTATGAACGCACTTTTAAGTATTGATTATTATTTAGGATGTGAAATATATTTAAACTAAGAGAGCATCTCAGGAACACAGGAGCTTATCTAAAAAATAACCATTGAGCCACAGTCAGTCAGGTTAGATGTTTCAACGTGACCAAAACTGATATTTGAAATATAAAATAAAGAAACTGGATTATATTGTCTCAAAGGCCCTTTGAGATATAAACTGCTACAAATCAACAGGGAACCTTTTCATATTGAAACTTTTAATGTACAATTAATGGTTCCTTAGTGATTTGAAATAGTTTTTATGTCAGTAAAAATGCACCAATGCAAAGCCTCTTACATTATTCTGGTTTTCCTCCATTTGTCATTATAAATAGAAGACCATTTCCAAGCTCACAAGAACATTTCTCATGGTTAGACAATTTAAGTTGTTTTTTTTCTTATATGTGGCAAGATGAGAGACCAGGAACCTCACTTAACGGTGATTCTGTAATTTACAGTGATCTACTTTTATTCGGATGTTGGCAAGATCTGTATTTTCTAATAAAATAAGTTGCAACTGTTTTCAATTTGATTTTTTCTTAAGTGGATAAAAAAGTGATTTGAGACTTGACAGAAGTCTGTTCTGTATCTTTCCCAACTAGTAATATTATGATACATGGTAATCCCTCTGTGACAGCCTCATAAATGTTGATGAATTGGAAACGGTATTAAGAGCAAATCAAAGCCTGCTTATATTCCGTACCATGTGAACACACTTGCCTTATGAAAACGCAACTAAATGAGAAAGTCTCCCATGTTCTCAGGAATGCCTAGCCTTAGCGATTTCCGTGCAGAGGGACTTCCGAGGGGGATACGGTGTCACTTCTCTCCCTAGCCTTTGAAGGAGAGCTATATTTGAGGTACAGGATACTTTGAAAGCAGGATGTATAAACATTGATTTACTTCCATTTCTACCTAACACTATTGCATTTCATTGTTAAACTTTAGATACCGGGCAATTCTTGTTTTCTCGTTCTTTTCCTCCTTTTTGCATGAGAATTATTTATGGCCACATTTTGTGCCTTGCCCTTAAGACAGACATTCTGTCCACTTACTCAGTTTCTCGTGTCCTTTGTTCTTGTTAGTCTCTACATCAGACATGAGCCTCTCAGTTATTTATTATCAATCACATTTATCAAGTGCTTTCTCAGGAAAATTGGTCCTTTCCATTTCCTTCAGCCAAGAAGCCATGTTCTATGTTTAAGACATAAAATGTCAACAGTCTGATTATTAAAATGCATGTCCTATTTATGGCAAAATGCTAGTTATGATCAATCTGATTTCTGTAGCCATATGTGCATAGTTGATGAGCAGAATTCCATTTTTCAAAATACGGCTTCTGCTTCTCTAGACAATTGTGTTGACACGTGTTTTATGTCTATGTAAACTTCCAGGTGCTTTCTAAGGTTAAAACTTGAGGAAATATAGCATTTGATGTATGGGATAATTAACTGTACTACATAGGTTTGTTTTTTTTCTGTTCAATTCATCTATCATGCCTCTCCAGGTTTTCTCTGTAAAATACCACTTCCATTTCGTTTGTCCTCTGCGTAAGCCCTTCTGTAATTTTTCACTGGGTCCTTGCAATAAAATCCAAATGTCATAGCCTGACATTGTGACCGTATAGCCTGTCCCTGACGCAAGAGCTCCAGTCACATCTTCTGTTTCCCCGTTTGCTGATCACTTAGCTATGGCCAGTTGGGTTCAATCATGTTCCCGGCATATTTGGAATATTTGTCTCTGTGTATTTTCTCAGATCCTCAGTTCTATCTAGAATGACTTCGCCTCTCTTTGTCATTTACAGAAATCTTATCTGACTTTCATGGATGAGTTTTTTTTATTTTTCTATGAAGCTATTGTTGAGATGCTCAGTTAGGGGACGAGGAGGGAATTTAGTTGGGAAGGGAAGGGAACATTTGACTCTGTACGATGGGACAAGTACTGTGCTGGACACTTCACGTGTGTTATTTCAACAAGGGATCCCTGTTCATGAATTCCCATACCATCCTGTCTTAACAAAGACCTCGCTGTTACTGTCATTGTGACCACCTTTGTGGACATTAGTATATATCCCACCTTTATCATGGGCAAAGCATGCCACTTGGTTTTGACTGTACACAGGTGCCGGAGATGTGGTTCTTGATTCTGGAGGAAAGGCAGGAAGAGTTATTAAAAATAATGTGTACTAACGTGCCAAAAATTCAGTGAATACTACTAGTTCAGAGAAGTAGATATTGACTAAAATTATGTGCATCAATGCTCAGTATTGAAAGAGGGCCTTGAGCCATAAACATGTGTTTTATGAATGAACAGAATTGCCTCGCGTTGTTAGTTACATGATAATATGTCTTAGTCACTTTCCTCATCCTTGAAGACAAAGAAAAGGTACATTGTTTATAGCGAGTGAAGTTATTACACAGTATTTGTTGTGTGATTGATTGATTTGTGACTGCCACTATTGAAATTTTTTTTAAAAATGTTTATTTTGAATAGTTTGACTGTAGCTCAATATCCAGCTCTTTTCAGTGTTTTGTACATAATTCTAAGGGAAATTGTTCTTGATAATATATTGTTTTGAAGGATATATGAACCAGAGAAACAGTTGAGGTAGATTAAAAATATGATTTAGCCCTGGCTGGTTTGGCTCAGCAGTTAGAGCGTCAACCCTCGGACCAGAGAGTCCGGGTTTGGTTCCTGCTAAGGGCACGTACCTTGGTTGTGGTTTGTCCCCGGCCCAGTTGGGGTCGTGTGGGTGGCAGCCACTCGATGTGTCTCTCTCACATTAATGTTTCTCTCTCTCTCTCCCTCTTGCTCGATCTGAAAAAAAAAAAAAAAAAGAGTATCATGATTTAGAATTAATTATAGTAGGTTCAGCTAAGCATTACTTGTCTAGTCATGTACTTTTTGTTGAATTGGGGAATTGTATTTGCTGCAGAACACGTCTGTGAACTGAAATTCTCCTTGTTCACAGTGGGGCAGCAACTCCCCTTGAGAATCGCATTTCTTACCATTTTCCAAAAGACTCCTTTTCAAGAACACACTGCTAAATTGGCTCTAACCTGAAGTATTTCTATTTTTTAAGACAACAACAATGGTGACTTTTTCTATTTTCTTGGTATTTATTTTATTATAAAAATGCATATTTTGCTGGCCTTGCCACTGTCTTTGAATAATATACTTACAATATATAATTACAATGTACTATGTTACAGTTTATGTATTTAATAGATTGAAATTGGAGTTGATCATTCGCTAATTATTTTCTATACATTGGATTTTGAAAAGAATATGGAAAGACAGAGTGGAGAGAAAAGAGATGTCTTGAGAAACACCAAACAGACTGTAATATCTCCGCATGTCTCCCTTAACTGGATTTAGACACTGGAATCTTGCACTGAATAAATTATTCCGAGACGGAGAACCTGAAATCTGACCATGGGTTAAACTAGTATTTTGTTCTGAATCTACTGCCATAAACGGATATAGGAAAAGGTCTGTCTTCATGATCATGGAAATAAACCTCACATCAATCCAGGGAGTGCCTGAGTCATGTGCGAACCCAAGCCACCTTCTGCACCTGGTAGCCACAGTAGGATACAGTTTAATGTTTCTGATGTCACTCACCTGCTCCGTTTCTTTTATAGGTGTTGAAATGGGTAGAGGAAGCAGTGCAGGCCTCCAAAGTCCACCTCTTATCGACAGACCATTTGGAACAAGCTGTAAACACATGGAGAATTCCCTTCGATCCCAGCCTAAAAGAGGTCACTGTGTCCCTGAGTGGCCCTTCTCCCGTGATTGAAATCCGCAATCCTTTAGGTGAGATATACCGAACGTCATATAAAAAATACAGAAGCTGTGAAAGATAAAAGGCTTTCTGCACACTTCCGTATGTTAAGTTCATGCTAACTTTATGAATAAATTCAAAAATGACTAGGCAAGATGTGTAAAACCAATGTTTCTGAGTCTTAAGTATTGAATTAACATGAGATTCAAAAAGCTAACAGTTCTAATAATGTAAACAGATCAGAGTTAGCAACTTAATTATACTAAGCTACCAAAAAGAAAAAAATATATAAATTGAACCTAAAATTGTATTTTCCTAATCTATTTCATAATAACTTATTCTGTAAAACTCAGTATTACTTTTTTTTAATGAGTCACATAAAAAAACTTTTACAACAGGTAATTTTTTTACGGATACTCTTCTTGATAAGGTTTTATTTTTCAGAGGACAGCTGATAAAAAACAAATTTATATTTTTATTTGAATAATGTGTTACTTTACTTTGCTTCTATTTGTGAAAACCCCAAGATTTGGCCCGGTTCCATTTCTGGTTGAATATTACAATAAGACATACATCGACAAGTTATCTAGTAAACACAGAAACTGTATTTTCCTTAATATTTGCATTTAGAAATATCTTTTTACCTATTGATATTCACAAAACATTTTTATTTCCATTATGGCTTTAGTATATGATACATTCTTTTTAAATATATGTGTGAGTATTTATAAATGTGGAGGAAGGAACTAGCTTTCTTATTTTATTTAGAGTCATAGAAAATAACTAATACCTAACAGAAAGCAACATATGAAATTGTCCTCAAAGGCCACACTCAACACTAGCAATCAAATTGAAATTTACAATATAAGCAAAACTCCTTTTTCAGGATTTCTGCAGGTTTGGCCTTAGAAGTTGGTCTGTCTGTTGATGTAGCTTCCCCCTCTAACAGCATCCATGCCACCCAGGAAAAATTTGTGTTTTTCACCACCCCGAGACTGACAAGTACCCCTACTCAATGCATTACGTTTCAACTGCTTTTGAAAGTCATTGACATTGGCATTGGTATTTAAGAAGCCATTTGCAATGATGATGCACCTTTTCCAATACAAGCATAGGATTCCTACACTTGATTTGTTTGTATAACTGCAGGAGTAGTCCATAGGAGAGCCAGGAGCAAAGTGAATAACCAAACTGTGGCTGCATTCCACATTGGCTTTTTCCTCTCTCAATTCCAACAAGAAGATAGCTCAGATATCTCTCCAGTCGGTAGGAGATGAGGTGGTTACTATGCTACCTCATTACACTGCCTCCTGGAATTTCCCCTCTGACAGTAAAAGCCTTCTCCTGTGCTTTGTGGAATCAGTTAAGGTTTTACGCTTTGTGCAAAGAAATGCCCAGGGCTCTCATGTTATATTACCTTGAGCGATCTCCAAAAAGATGTTTCTTCTGGTTTACTGTTTTGTCATCTACTAAATCGAAATGTCTCTAGTGACTGCACAACTTTTTAGTAGCTGTGATCATTGTTATCTGAGATAGCTTTGGAAATATGATGAAAGTCTGCCAATTGTTATTCTCACTTTAAGACCAGATCCACAGAGCATATGGGAATCAGTTAGCTCAGTTCCAATAATGCCCAGGAACCCTGAAATTAAGTAGTGTTTAGATATAACTAAAATAGTGTTTTGAGCTATAAAAACAAATGTCCATTAGGTAACTTATACTGGGAATGTATACGGCTAATATACATAGCTGAAAGAAAGATTATGCCTGTTACCTTTATGTGTGTCTTTCAGGGAAGCTGATCAAAAAGGGATTTGGCCTGAATGAGCTATTGAATATCCATAACTCTGCCAAGGTGGTGAATGTGAAAGAGCCAGAGGCTGGAATGTGGACAGTGAAGGTACTGTTATTGGACAAAGTCTATTTATTATTTTATTTAGATGTTGGCATGTTCTCGAACATGTGTACAATAGTTTACTTATATCTTCTCTTGCAATCATAGAGAGTGCTTTTACTAAGAAGCAATATACATGGTACATTTGTAGATCTTTCGGTCGCATGAATTTGGTCGTGTTAAGTTTTGATGGCCATAAAAGTCAGCAGTGCCACCACAGATGTACTTAACGTCTCAGTTTCCCTGTCATCCAATCTGTACATTGATTGTATTATCTGCCTCCTGAGTCTACAGCAATCAGAGCTGGAGATATCATGGTTAAGGGGCGTAGGCTCCGGTGTGGAAGGCCTGGTTTCGACTCTCCATGCCCCTTAAAAGCTGGATTGCTTTGGGGCCATAACTTCCCTGTGCTTGCCATTCCTCCTGTGTGATATAGACATGTCAAGACTAATCTTCTATTTTATTAAATTTTGTGAAAATTAAATCAAGGTGATGCAAATAAAATACTTAGCATAGTTCTTTTTTTTTTATCCTCACCCAAGGACATTTTTCCATTTTTTGTTCAGATAGAGCGGGAGGGAGAGAGAGGAAGAGAGAGAGAGAAACATCGATGTGAAGGGACACATCGAGTGGCTGCCACCCGCACGACCAACCAGGGCCGGGGACAAACTGCAACCGAGGTACGTGCCCTTAGCGGGAACCGAACCCGGGTCTCTGTGTACCACAGGCCGGCGCTCCAACCGCTGAGCCAAACCGGCCAGGGCTCAGCATAGTTCTTGTTACAAACTAAGCCCTCAAGTACTGTTGGCTATTGTTATTAGGTGGGTCTCCATTGATTGTTTAACACAAAATGGTATTATATTTCCCGGAATCACATGAAGTAGTATATGTTCACGCTAAGAAAGCATTGTAGCCCTGGCCGGTTTGGCTCAGCGGTTAGAGCATCGGCCTGCGGTTGGTAGAGACCCGGGTTCGGTTCCCGCTAAGGGCATGTACTTCGGTTGCAGTTTGTCCCCGGCCCTGGTTGGTCGTGCGGGTGGCAGCCACTCGATGTGTCCCTTTCACGTCGATGTTTCTGTCTCTCTCTCCCTTCCTCTCTCTCCCTCCCACTCTATCTGTACAAAAAATGGAAAAATATCCTCGGGTGAGGATAAAAAAAACAAAAAAACAAAAAAAAAGAAAGCATTGTACTTTGGCAATATGGAAGAGAGAACATACACCTGAAATTCACTTCTACTGCAAATTGTGTGTGTGACCCGCTGTGGTGGGTGTTCTGAGTGGCTTGCCCATATTTCTCAGATTTTTCCGTGTGCTCTGGCCTACTTCCAACTCCAATATCTGCGCCTCTGTGTCTGAGAGTCTGTTCCCAGAACAAGGGAAGGCTGTTCTGCTGGAGAATGGAAGCTTCAGGAGCAGCTCCGCGCCTGCGGGAGTAGCTCCAGCTGTCCGCGTGGGAGCAGGATGCACCCACAGCCCTGGCTGTCTGCATTCCTTCCCCGCCACTTCTCTTTCTATCGGCGTCCTTTGCAACTCCCATGCCGGGGTCCTGCGGGGCCCACTCAAATGAAGATACCCCTTGCAGCATTTACACGTGTGCCATCTTGGCTTCCCCACATAAAACCTGGGATGAATGGCTCATGATTCCAGTTGTGGAACTGCTGTGGAAGCGGGTGGAGGTGTTGTACCACACACGTGGGAAGTGCCATTTTTGCATTCCCGTTTTTGTTTTGTTTTCTTTTTCTTTTTCAAAGAATACTTGAAATTTCCATTGTAATTACATTCAAATCCTAGATCATCAGTTCTTTATTCTCAGAACTCTGAGACTTTGTAGGGAAAGTAGAAACTGTTATATAAATATATATCTGGAGGTGGATTCTATGGAATAAAGATATAAGTAAGAAGGCAATGTGAAATAGTAAAATCTGGGAATTTCTTACTGAATGGACTCATATTCCTGTTCCTTGCACATAGTAGTTGCTCAGGATTTATTGAGTGCATTAGATTGGCAACAATGAAGTGTTTTGCCGCTCTGTTTTTTTTTTTTTTTAAATCCTCTCCTGAGGACATTTTTCCATTTTTGGTTCAGATAGAGTGGGAGGGAGAGAGAGGAAGAGAGAGAGAGAGAAACATCGATGTGAAAGGGACACATCGAGTGGCTGCCACCCGCACGACCAACCAGGGCCGGGTGCCCTTAGCGGGAACCGAACCCGGGTCTCTCAGGACTGCAGGCCGACACTCTAACCGCTGAGCCAAACCGGCCAGGGCTTGCCGCTCTGTTTTAAATAAATGTGGCCAAATTTGATGTGACAGTCATTTTGACCAGCGTACTGAGTGTGACTTTCTGTGACCACAGTAGGAAGGAGTATATGAAGTTCTGAGTCTCGATTTTTCTTAAACATTTTAAGCACAACCTAAGCCAGCCGTACCCTGAGTTAGCAAGTCTGGGAAGGCAGTTCATTGTTGCTTTTTGAATAGAACATTCAGGTATTGATTGTTAGCAACTTACTGTGAAGTACTTGAACCCGTTTTAAGGTGATTTGAATTGCTACCAGTGGTATTTACTCTAGTACAGTTCTGGCCAGAAGAATGTACTGTTTTATCTCGTGACCCCTACACCTACTCATCGGTTCAGTAAACATTTACTGAGTGTCTGCTCTTGGCTATGTTCCCTGGTACTAAATGGGAAGTAAGCAATTTTAATTGATAATTAGAACAGAGAAGCACTGAGGATTCGTCTGAGTGAGTAGGGAGAAATAAGGTGATGAGGTGATGGCAACTCTGTTTAGACAAGTCTTTAAGCTCAGTCTCCTGTAATTAAGAAAACAATAAGAAGACAGTATCTGTTATCATTATATCTTAAATGTATATTTAAGTCCTCACCAAAAAAGCCTCTGGTTCTGACGTCACACCATTTCTAGAGTACAATTAGTGGTCACCAAACAAAGGGTAAGTGTTACAGTGTATCTTAAAAGACCAGCGTATTTGCTCCTATGTGAAATGCCAAAATAATGCAGCGGTTTAATGTGAAGGAAACCGAGCTGAACCTACTGGCATGGACACTGGTGCTGGCTTTGGATCTCCCTTTGGATGGCAAATGAATGATGACGTTTTGCATGTGTGCTCAGGAAGAGAAATGCTTGAGATTAGATAGTGCTCTATCCCCGGTGCTATCTGCGTGCCCTCTGCTCCCTGGGGAATGTCTGCTCTGTCAGTAGAATTAATAATGGCTTTTTCAGTGCTTCCCATACAGTTTTTATCCCAAATATGGAGAATGCTCTATTATTTAACCTTAGCATGGTAGTTAAGGGCCAGCCAATGGAGCCTCGGTCATTCTTTCTTGTTCTCTTCGATCATTTGCCTTCACCAGCCAAAAAAAAAAAAAAAATTAAAAAATTGTACTTTTACCTCTCTCCTACCACATTCGCTTAAATTGTTCCTTTTCTTGGAATTCCTTTCCTTTCAGTCTGACTCAGAACAATCCCCTTAGGCTCAAATGGCAACGCTGTCATAAAGCCTTGTCTGAGTTTTTCTTTTTCTTTTTTAAATTTTTATGTATTTATTTATTTTTTGGTACGTGCCCCTAGCGGGAACCAAACCCGGGACTGTCTGGTCTGCAGGCTGATGTTCCAACCACTGAGCCAAACCAGCCAGGGCCCGAGTTTTTCTAAAATGCTCTTCTTTCTACTGCAATTTTTCTGTACTTCTCTTTCGGATTATTTCCCCCATATTTCATATTTATTTCTATACAGATCTTCTCTCCCTGTTTTGCTGGAGACCAGATTGTGTCACTAGTATACTAGTACATGTCACATGCCTGGGAAAGAACTATATAAATATTCATGAATAAAAATGAATACAGCCTGGCTGGTGTGGCTCAGTGGTTGAGTGTCGACCCATGCACCAAGAGGTGGCCGGTTTGGTTCCCGGTCAGGGCACATGCCCAGGTTGTGGGCCCGATCCCCAGTGGGGGTCACGCAGGAGGCGGCCAATCGATGTTCTCTCCCATTGATGTTTCTATCTCCCTCTCCCTCTCCCTTCCTCTCTCTCTAAAATCAATAAAGAAAAAAAAAATTTTTTTTAATGAATACATTTATTCTGAAGGAAGCGGGCCAAAGGGCTAATTCATTCTGCCTATTGTCGATGTACTAGTACAAAACACTTCAATTTTTCCACGATTTAAAATGCTATGGAAGTGGTATTCTCTTTTCTTCTGTGGTTGCCCTCTGAAACCCTGGTAATTACTTTTCTATAATTTACTAGGACACCTTTACTAAGAGACAATGAGTTAATTTATCCATTTAATTCCTATAAATGATGCAGGTAAAAGCATGTTAAAAAGAGGTAACTGAAAAGAATGTGAAGTTTTATTACAAATAAAAGAGAAGGTTGTTTTATGTCCCTAAATTCTCATTTGTGGGGAAGCTACGAATCTGGATCTTCTTTCTGAAAAGCAATATACAGTTTCCATTCAGGAAGTTATCTCTATATATAGACTATTTGAACATAACCACAGAGCACTCAGGCCAAAGTCTGTTTTCTGGTGTTTAAGGGAAACTCCCAGCAAAGATATTAAGTAGTTGTCAGCACCCATTGGATTTAGGTGGTACAAACTGTTTCTATTAGTCTATGATTATCAGTGTGATCCTGTAAGTTGACACATCCCTTGGGGTAGCTTTCCATTAAGTAAATTTGGATAAACCGTCCTTAGATAATCTCCCTGGGAGAGAAGGGAGTGTACCCAACCGCATGATTATATCGAGATTTGGAGACTAAGAAAAATATTTTGGTTTTAGATAGCTACGTTGGTTGCCAGAGCCTACTAATGCTTTTGCTAGAGATAAGGGTATTTTAGAAGCCATACTCAAGTGGCATACGCTTGTTCAGGAATCATAATTAAATAAGCCTCCATTCTGCAAAGGACCACACAAGAAGAATATTATGCTGGCCCCCAGTTCTTCTTACTTGGTGACTATTTTGAGCTTGAAGACTACCCCAGGTGTGGTATT